CCCCAAAACCCCAAAACCCCAAAACCCCAAAACCCCAAAACCCCAAAACCCCTGACTGGGCTTGCCCAGTTGAGATTCAGCAATATAATTAAGTTAGGGTTCGTCACACTGGGATTCAAGAGAGAGTCTCTGCTTCTCTTTGGTGAGAAGTTTGTTGATTAGGTGGCTCACGATGGACTTTTGGTCTGAAGGGAGCGATTCAAGGGAGGATTGTTGAATGGCGATGAGCTTTTTGAGCGAGGTGAAGTCGGTAGGCTCTGAAGAGGACTCTTCGTCGTCGGGAGGGAGTTTTATGCCGGTTTGGTCGCCCTTTGTGCTGGAGATAGGGTCGAAATCGCTACTTTTGTCGATGTTTTTGGCTGTAGATCTGTTCATTTTGTCGAATTCGTTACAATTATTTGATAATGTTGCAGATGAATGGCATGTAGGATTATTCTTATGAATAATTGGGCTTGAATAATCCCGTTTATGATTTCTTGTAGTCATATTCATCAGCTTTGATTGTAAATCATTTGAGATAATATCAGATATAGACTCTTTCTTGCTATGCTCATGCAATTGAGCTCTAAGATCATCATTTTCCGTCTTAAGGATCTTACATTTATTCACAAGCTCCTTGTTTTGACTCAGAATAATGCCATATTTCATAGCCATGACCTTCTCTTTCTCGATAACTTTCTCACGTGAGTTCTCAAATTCTTGAGACTTGGTTTTGTAGTATCTGAGTTGTGCTTCTAGTTCAATGCTTCTACTTTTATAGATCTCTGCTTCATTCTGTGCATCACCTAGTTTGACCTCCATTTGGGAGATTTTGTTCTTGACGATCTTGAGATATTCCATAATCTTATTTCTTCTTCTCAGCTTCGTCAACAGTTGGAATGTCTCTGCTTGAGGAACACTTCGAGTCAAACATTGACGGTGCCTTCTGGTGAGGCTTAGCTTGCTTCGGCTGGTTCTTAAATGCATTTGCATACCCATCTAGGTCTGTTTGCCTGAAGTTCACTGGACTTTTAGGCTGCTTGGCTCATTCATCTAGCTCAAATACGAACTGCTCTCCAATTTTGCCGATGCTCTTAAGTTTCTCAAGGTTGGCAATGTCTTGCTCGATGCTCTCTAGTTCATCAGATTCGTTACATTTTTGAATGGACAACCCAGTGTTGTTATCCTGATTAGAGAATAAGAAGGGAACACTCTCTTTAGGGTTGATGGTCTTAGCGAACTTGTTGCTGGCCAAAACCTGCTTCTTTTGGATCACAGGAGTAATAGATCTCTTTGATTTCGACCCCAAACGTCCTTTCTTCCTTGGCTTGGTGCAGACAGTTTCTTGGAAAGGAGACTTTGTATGGGTCCGCTTCTGAGTACCTTTGGATGTCTTGTTGAATAAAGGTCTCGTTAGCAAATCTTTCTTCGACCTATGTAAAGATTTAGGCATTATATTTACCCCATTCTTGAAGAAGCTGTGAAACGATGCCTGCTGTGGATCTCACCTGAATTCTTTATCCTCGGTGTCATAAATTTAGAAAGAGTTTTTGAATTTTTACCTATTTGTTTTAGAAAGTAAATCAAAATTTTGATATACCTTTAGAAGAATTTGTTGCTTGGTCAGGGGTGTTGGTAAAGTTCAGGTGTTTATTCTTGACTGATCTCTTCCCAGATGATTTAGTAATGACTGCAGAATCAAGAGATTCTTTGCTTGGGCCTCTTTGGATGGTTAGTTTGCCAAACTTGATGTTAGATGCTGATGAATTGATTCTATTTCTGACTAGGAGAGGAATGCATATTGTTTTCTCCCTTTTGGCTATCATATGCAGACTTAATACCCATTATATCTTGCAGGAAGTTACCTGCATCACTAGTGTTAATTACATTCATTCCTGCTCTGTTCTGAAGAGGTGTCAAAGATACAGTTGAGGAGTACCCTTTTGATGAAGAGAAATCTTCGTTATTTTTCAAATAGTCCATTGCTTGATTAATATAATTAATTTTTATTACGAGATTTATTAGTTTCATAAAATATTTCAGAGTTGGGGTTTTGGGGTTTTGGGGTTTTGGGGTTTTGGGGTTTTGGGGTTTTG